AAAATGCAATGGCGTAATCATAAAATGGAGGTCATTTTCAAAATCTACTGCTCAAGAAACATAAAAGTAGACCTTTAAATTGGATAAATTCGAAAAACTTAAAGAAGTCAAAATGCAATGGCGTAATCATGAAATGGAGGTCATTTTCAAAATCTACTGCTCAAGAAACATAAAAGTAGACCTTTAAATTGGATAAATTCGAAATACTTTAAGTCAAAATGCAATGGCGTAATCATGAAATGGAGGTCATTTTCAAAATCTACTGCTCAAGAAACATAAAAGTAGACCTTTAAATTGGATAAATTCGAAAAACTTAAATAAGTCAAAACGCAGTGGCGTAATCTTAAAATGGAGATCATTTTCAAAATCTACAGCTCCGGAAACATAAAAATACACCCTCATATGAAAAATATCCGAAAAACTCAAATAAGTCGAAACGCGGTGGCCTAATCTTAAAATGGAGGTCATTTTCAAAATCTACGGCTCAAGAAACATAAAAGTAGACCTTTAGATTGGATAAATTCGAAAAACTTAAATAAATCAAAACACAATGGCGTAAACATAAAATGGATGTCATTTTCAAAATTTACTGATCGGGAAACATAAAAATACACCCTGACATCGAATAAGTAAAAAAAAATTAAATAATTCGAAACGCAGACACGTAATCTTAAAAAGGAGGTTATTTTCAAAAACTAGTCATACGATAACAGACCCACGCATCGAAAAATAATAAAGATAATTAAATAAATAAAAAAAGGTTGAATTTGAAATGGAAAAGGTTTAATTTGAAATGGAAAAGGTTGAATTTGACTTGGAAAAAGTTTAATTTGATTTGGAAAAGGTTGAATTTGACTTGGAAAAGGTTGAAATTGACTTGGAAATGCTATATATAGTAATTTTTTTAAAAATAAATAATTTAATAAATATGTGAAGGAGTTAGTCGAGGGTGCGGTCAAATAAATAAAAAAAATTAAAATAATTAATATATTTTAATTTTTTTTATTTATTTGACCGCACCCTCGACTAACTCCTTCTCATATTATATCAACGGTCAACCATCTCTACATCAATTTAATAAATATATTTTTTAAAATAAATAACAGCATTCATTAATAAGATTGTGTGAAAATATTTGCATTCACTTCTGTAAATTTAAGCGTACTCATTTTAATAAACGTGAATATTGCCGTATTCACTTTTACTAGTATAAATACCTAGGCTTGGGAATTTATATTACGTAAAGTGCTATACTGCAGCCTTTAACAACCTTTGAGTAAGTATAATGATTATTTAGAGCATCTATTGCTGCTTGACCGTCAGTGTAGATTATTATCTTTTTTCCATTCACTTTGCCTAGCAGTAGCTTTTGAGCACAAGGGCAAATTGCCAGTACTTTGGATTGAAATACTGAAACATATTTTCCAAGAGGAATTGAATCTTTTCCTTTGTTGTGTTTATGATAGATGCTTGCTCCTGAGCCATAAGCTGTTAGAGAGCATAACTTCCTCCTCCAGCAGGGCCTTTAATAGGGTCCCTACTAGAGATTCATCTAATGTATCAGAGAAAACTTCTAATATGATTATTTGCTCCAATGAGGACAAGTCCTCTTTGGATATCGACGATTTAGTTTTTATTATTAGTTTGGTTTGATCGGGACATTTTGTTCTCACGAGTATAGGGGTCTAAAACGACTGCAGATACAACCCCCTCTCTCTACAGCCGGCATTACTTATAATGGGGTGTTGCCCGATTCCCCAAGGGGATCAATATAAAACAGTATATTTTTATCCACCCTCTGCCATTCAGCCACAGCTTGAGCTCATTAACCTAGCTTGGGTGCCTAATGGGTCCATCACAACTATCACATGGATAGAAGATATGGACCCCGCATCTGTCGTCCTCGAGTCCTATCGGACTCCCTGCGGGGCGTCACATAAGATATCCTCTTTTTATTTTGAAGCAATTAGTCATTTCATTCTTTAACGTTCGGAAGTATTCATGATTGTCTTCACTAGGATTATTGAGATCTTTTAATTTAGCTTACAAAATTTTTATATTAAGTTTTTGTCGAAGTTTCATGATTACTTATTTATGATCTGACCCACATTCTGCTCCGCGAAAAAAAACCGTACGTTAATTTTACTACTTTGCCAGCTATGTTGTATGAAGACATAATCAATTTGATTTTGTGTTTGCGAATCCCTTGATGTTCAGGCATATCTATGAATATCCTTATGTTTAAGCCTAGTACTTTTAATTATCAGTTTTTTTTTCGAGATGGCAAAGTTTATCTGACGGATTCCATTATTATTACTATATTCATGCAAACTTTCTTTACCGTTCAATCGTTAAAAAATAAACTTCATCCCTTCTCACCTTTGCGTTTGTGTCACCTACAACTATTTTCATGGGGTTTAACAGTTAGTTTATCATAAACCCACTTGAGTTTATCATAAAATTCACATTTGACTTCCTCATCACTGTCTTTGGTCGGTCAATGTATGTTTATTAACGCGATTTTAAACCAACATTCCTGAAATTTGGCTACCGAAATTCTATCACTAAAGAATTGTACATCGCTGAAAGCAGATAGCAATCTGTTCCTAATTAGAAACCCTGTACCTAAACAATGATTCCCGCTTCTTTCTTACATAATAGTGTCTTTCCTTCTCTTATCGATCCCTCCTCTGGCCAGTGAAACTCTTGCAGAGCCACAATATCCAAATTGTACCGATTAACCTCTCTTGCGACCGATTTTAACCCACTTGCTGAATTCAAACCTCTTACGTTCAATGTATCATAGCTAAATCCCTATTTTTCAACCTGTACCATGAATCCCCTAAAGCAGTCCCCATACGGAGACCCGAACGGGGGACTAGTTTATCTCTGGATAATGAGCGTTTTACCTTAAGGAGATCCATGACTATTTGTGGTGTATGTTGGACTAAAGATATGTGCGTAGGGCCTTCAATCCTGTCCACCCTCCAGTGTCTGGAGTGCCCCTCTCATTGTTAGCCAGGAACTTAGCCGGGAGGAATTTCCACCAAAGATCCCCACATCCGCCACCCATGGGTCACTTTCCTACACGGTAATGAGCCTGTGCGAGGAATTTTCTGTGAATAGATTTATTTAATTAATTTAATAAATAGAATTGTAACTAAAAACTAACAATTTAATAAAAAAAAACTAAAGAGTAATAGACAAAAAAAGTATCTATATTTTTTATTTACATTATTTGCTTTCAGAAATGCCTTATACTAATAGAGTCTTGGTACAATAAATGGATGGCAGTGTTATGTTTGGCAAATTAGCATTTCAATGAAAAAGTGTCTCCAAGTTCAGTTTTCATTCTACTTACTATAGTTTTTGTATCAATAATTTAATCAATTCAATATGTATTGTTTTTAATGCTGTCTCCCAAGTTATTCTTTGTTTGTTATGCAACACAGGTCTGAATTAGGTGTTAAGGCTAAGTTAAGCAATTGTTTATTTTTATTATTTTTTTTTTTTTTTTTTTTTTGTAAACAGATTGTTTTCCCTTCTCCAGTATACACTTCATTATATTGTATATATAAAAAACAATGTTTAAGCTTTATTTTTTTTAACTCTCCACATTAAAAAAGTATTGCTGATGAGGTGATCAAATGAAATTTGTTTTCTGGTTGGGAATATTTTTGTGTGAAGAATAAAGGTTGTTTCATTGTAGATATGACTGGAATAATAGTATTTATTTAATAATAATAGTAGTTATGGAGATAAGAAGTGCTTTTATGGATTAGAGAAAATAAAAAATGGTTTTAAAACTAATTTTAACTAGAGATAATAATTCTTTGTATTATCAAATGTATAAGGAGTTAAAATTTTTCATTTTAATGTAAATTTTTTCATTGTTAAAACTCTTTAATAATTAATAAATAAACTATTAATTAATAAATAAACTATTTAATTAATAAAACTATTTAAATAGGACTATTGAGGGGGCGAACTCAGCTATGTTACGTTTAAAAAAAAGTCATAAATTATTTATGATTTTTTTTTATCAGCCTTTAACTATACTACAGTTACTCCACTTTTAGAAAAAAAATTCGCTTTTATCAAGCTTTAAGTACATATTAATTAAGTTAAGGTTTATCGAGAAAAAAATTGAGATCCGCCTTAAGTTGTGTAAAGGAATGATGTGGTTTTCAATCCAGTCACCTAAAAGTTCTCTGGTTTTTAGCTAAAATGATTTAGTTGGGAATTATTATATCTTTGAAAGTTGCGGACTGGGTATCATCAAGACATTAATTAAAATAAATAAAACTTCTCTATCTTGTCTGTAATGTTGATCCAATTTTAGGGGTATACTATTGTACATTGTGTAATAATAGAAATGTATATATCATTATATATTGTTTTGGAGTCACGTCCAAATAACTAAAAAAAGTTTGGAAATTTCACTGTTTTTTGCATATATCTCAGAACGCAATAGAAAAGTTTGTTCGGGAAAATCAAAATCAGATTTAGCTCCCCAAAAACATAAAAAACCAAAGAGAAACCGGCTATTTGAATTTTTTCCTCATCCAACTACTATCCGACTGGCCTAAATTGATGACTTTGACATGTCAGTTTTCAAAACGCAATTGTGTATATCGTCAGTTAATTTACAGTCAAGTCAATTCTCTTTTAGGGACATATTCTTCTCATCATATCAAAATTTCAGTCATATGTTCTTCCGTTAAATGAACTGTTAAATTTCGCCTCTTTAATTTAAATTTTCACATAGAAAGCTACGGCTTTCAACCGACTGACCAAAGTTGTGTGTTCAGATGAGATTATCTAGAATTTAAAATGGTTACTAGTTTTAAGTCCTTCCGTTATGTGAACTGTTGGGTAACTCCTAGTCAATTAGCTCAGCGATTCACACTGGCAGAGTAAATTACAATACTATGTTCATACTAATTCTTAACAACTACTGTAATTTTTTTTGCTAATTTTTATTTTCTATACTGTTTTAGATTGGAATTAATCCTGGTTTGTTTGCTGCTTATAAAGGACATCACTATGCTGGACCTGGAAACCATTTTTGTAAGTTTTACTTTGTTATTGGGATTCTTATTTTAACAATTTTTTGTTAGGATTTTTAATATTATTAAGTGGTATGTTTCAGATTAATTTTCTTCTTTCCTATTATTTATATTTAAAATTTTTCTAGATATGAATATATACACTAAGTTCTTCGTATTTATCTTACCATATTGCATGCTGTTAGAGAAAGCTGTTAAGATCAACTGGTTTATATTTTTGAAGTTCTTTTGAAAGATATTTTATTTATCGCTGGCTTTGTGGTACATTTTGTTTAACACAATTTTCAGCTTACCTCAAAATATACTAATTCTTATAAACAGAGAACATTTTACTTACAGTTACTGGTAAAGCATTTTTTAACTATAGTTTTAGACCAACCAAACTTCTGCCACAGTGGTAAATTAGGCTTTAAAAAATTAAGTAAAATTCAATTTAAAAATATGTATAAAGGAAGGAGATGGTCTGGGGTGGCGATCATAAATAGGCTAAATAGTGGCAAAACTATTTTATTAAAAGCCAATGTTTCGACCCGACTTCGCAGGTCTTCTTCAGGGCTAGAACTGACAAGATACAAAAAGATATAGAGAATTGTGGAAGTTACATAATATTAAGACAAAAAATTACAATAAGCTTATTAAAATTATAAACAGTAAGTACATTAAAATATAAACAGAGTAAGCTAAGTAACGAGATCCTAAACTGAAGTAAATAGATGGTAACAATTGTTGTAGTGTAATATATAATATATGCAAATGTGAATATACTTCTACAGATCTACAGGAGAGATTGAAAGAAAAGGAAAAAGGATATAATATGAAATAATAGACATAAAGGAATGTGGAGAAAGAAAAGAAAAAAGAAAACCAAAAAAATAAATAAATAAGTATATAAAATTAGAAGAATGAAAATAGAGACTTACAGGTGTGTTCAGCTAGGAGTTTCACTTAGAACTGGAAAATCAGAATAAGGGTAAGTATTGAGGAAATTTGCTGACATGTTTGGGTTATGGGGAGAAAAAAAAAACTCTTGAAAATTACTGTATCAGATTTTTTCAATTACCCAAACAGGTCAGCAAATTTCCCCAATACCTACAATTAGCCTATTTATGACCACCACCCCGGACCATCTCCTTCCTTTATAGTGCAACGGCCAACTATTAAAGGGTGAAAATATTTAAATAGCTCATTGCTCGAAAACAAAAAAAAAAAAAAATTATACAGCACAAAAATTAAATGGTCTAAGAGCTGCTGAAAGCTAGACCTTTTTTAATAGCTACTCATACAATCTTAAAAATTGAAAAAATCATGTACTTTACTGTCACCAGGCACCTAACGAATCCTACCCATTATAGAATCCCAAAATATCCCTTCCCATCAGTTTGGTTTTCGCTCTCAACATTCTACTGTTCAACAAGGACTCCGAGTTGTTGATCATATTTCCTCAGCCCTAGAAAACAAGGAATACTGTTCGGGTGCCTTTCTGGACATTGCACAGGCATTTGACCGGGTATGGCACTCCGGACTACTCTCCAAGCTTAAAATCCATTTACCTCAGTCCTTGTACCTAGTCCTCCGATCCTACCTCTCTGACCGCTCCTTTCGAGTTCGCTGTGGAACAGAATTTTCCAATATCTACTCCGTTAAAGCCGGTGTTCCCCAAGGCAGCGTCTTGGGTCCCGTGCTTCACATCCTCTTTACTGCTGACATCCCTGTTCATCCCGATACTTTTCTTGCAACATTCTCTGACGACACCACAATCTTATCATCCAACTCTGATCCCGAAATAGCATCCTTAAATCTCCAAAGTCACCTCACCTTGATTGAGCACTGGTGTAATAACTGGCGCATTAAAGTTAATGAATCTAAATGCCAACATATTATATTTACACTCCGACACAATTCCTGTCCACCAGTACTCTTTAATTCCATCCAGCTTCCTTATTCAGACACAGTCCGGTATCTTGGCTTTCATTTAGACCGAAGACTAACTTGGAACCCGCATACTAGACTCAAAAGACAAGAACTCAACCGACGATACGGCCAACTATACCGACTACTAAGCAGAAAATCTAAACTTTCCATTGAAAACAAGCTACTGATCTACAAGACAATACTGAAACCTATTTGCACTTACGGACTAGAACTGTGGGGATCAGCAAAATTTTCTAACATCAAGCGCATCCAATCCTTCCAGTCTAAAGTCCTTCGAACAATAGTCGATGCTCCTTTCTATGTATCCAACAAAACCCTACATCATGACCTTAACATCCCATTTGTCCTAGACCTTATCCCAGAAAAATTCTCCAAATTTCAGCAGAACCTTATTTACCACCCAAATCCTCTTGCACAATCCCTATCAAGCATCTCCCATCCCTATAATCCTCCAAGAAGGTTGAAACGGCAGTGGCCTCGCCACCTTTTGTAGATTGTATAAATTGGAGTTCTGGCAATGGCCAGATTCTTCACTCAAGAAATGTGTGTATGTGGCTAAAGTGCTCTCGACCAATCTTCGCTGGCTTTAGTACCAGTGACGCGGTTGGGAGAGTAGCGCAGGGTTCTCCTGGAGTTCCCTCACCTGATTGTATATAGGTATGCATGTGTTTTTTTTTGTTTTTTTCTTAGTTTTAATTTTCTTATTTTTTAGGTTATTTTATTTTATTGTCTATTGTATATACTTTTGATTATTATTTTGTTCTATTTATTTTTTTTTTTTTGTACATATGGTGTGAATGTCATCCTACCTCACTATAACCAATGTCCAACAGACAGATTGTTATAATACTCAATAAAGAAATTAAAAAAAAAAAAAAAAAAAAAAAACTGTCACCAGGCTATTTAAAAGCATTCAATGATTTTGAAAATAAATAAATGAAAATGGAAGGAGATGGTCTGGGGAGCGGTCATAAATAGGCTAAATAGTGGCAAAACTATTTTATTAATAAAATGAAGAAATAGATTTACACTAATATTTTTCTCAGCAATATGATAATTTATTGTGGTTCTTAGCAAATATTAATCACAAGCTGACTTAAAACAAATTTTAACTTTTTTTTAGTACTACTTCTTTAATAAATAAATATCTTATTAATGACAATTAGAAACTGAAGTCAGAATTCATATGTATAATATATCATTGGAAAGCTGAAGATTATAGAAAAAAACAATATCAAGCATACAAAGTCGTAGACTGTAATGGAGGGTGAAGCCTATTTACCCTATTTATGACCGCCACCCCGCCATAAAAATGTTTATCAACTTTGAAATTTGGTATAACTTGTTCAAAAAACTCTGAAGTAAATTGATAAAGGCAAGTTAGAATTAAATTGTATGTTAAAGAAAGTGGCAACATAGGTCTTGCCTCTTCAACTCCCAGGAGGCATCTCTGCCTCTGTTTCCAACTATACCAAATGATTCATCTCAGAACTATTTATGTGCAATTAGAATATCTCCCTCTGAATGAATCCATACTGACAAACAAAACCTATCCTAAGACTATTTCTAAATGTTTAATTTGTTAAGGCATCCATATCTCTATATATTATAGGACCTTAAATAAGTTCTCGCTGTTTCTATGTGTGTGTAGTGCTATGTGTGTTTCATTATAGATGGTAACACAATTTTCCATGATAAAATATATTTATTAATACATTTATATTCATTCAATATTTTATCATTTATACATACAAATTTACCATTACCGTTTTTTTGCTATTGTATATTTCCATGTATATTTTCTAGTTAATATATTTTTCTTTCTCTTTCTTATTGATTGTTGTTATTTTATCGAAGTCAACTCACAAGAAAATAAAGCCCTTTTGTGTGTACTTTCATCTTTGACTGCATCCCAAATCAATTTCTACTAATTCTTGAATGTTAAACTATCGACAGTTTTACCAATACCATTTTGGCAGTAATAAACCAATCTAATACATCAATTGTGCAGAGCTAAGTTAAAAAATATAGCCTTCAGAGCATCACCTTGCCACAATCCACTGTAAAATGGAATTCGTTGCTCATTCTATTGGTAATAAAAACTCTATCTCATGAAAGGAACAGCATCATTTAAATTAATTTAATCATTTTATAAGGAATATAAAATTCCTTGAAGGCTGATGTTAGCTGGACATTGTCAACTCAATCGAAGGCTTGCTAGCATTTATCCTGTATTTTTCCGATGACTAAGATCAGGTTAATCATATCTCTGTTGGGTCTAAGGCCTTTGATAATCAGTTGAAATTCACTGTGAGTATACTTTCAGCCTACCTAGCGATACGGTTTGACAATATCTTGTAGACAACATTTAACAATGTAAAACCTCTATGATTGTGGCACACCATTTTGTCCCCTTTATCAAAATTGCCATTGTAAGTCCAGAACACTATTCAGTTAGCATTTCCTCATCTACCCAGATCCGAAGTATCAGGTCATATACTATTATTCAGAAGCTATCTTAAAACAGTTCAGCTGGTATATAATCTTCACCGGGAGGGCCTACAGTTTTTTAGAAGATCTATTGCATCCAGAAATTCATCATGCGAGGGAAGTTCATTATGAAAGCGCGCTCTTGTGTCCAATTCTGTGAGTGAAGAGTTTTCGAAGGGCATGGAGATGAGATCTAAATCTACCATGGCCTAATGAATATGGTTTATTTTTATTTGTCAGGTTTCATCTTTCACTGTCCGTTGCTTAGAATCACTGACATTAAGGATCTCTAGAATATTCTGCCGATCTGTTCATCACTTGGGTTTCCTCACTAAGGAGGTGGCTATCCTTATCATTCACTGCATAATATTACACTGCCTGATAGAATTTTCTTTCTTTTGTTTTCTCCTTCATTCCCTCCATATCCTCAATTTTCTTTCTCTACCATTCCCTCTTTTTTTCTCATGCATAACTTTGTCCCAACTTTTCTGCTCTGAATGTATTTCTCCCAATCCTCCGAGTATCTCCCTATAGTCCTTTAAGTCTATCCTCATTCTTTTGTTCAATATAGGAGACATAGGCACATACTTCAGAGAAGGGGGCGATCACTTCCCCCATCCAATAAAAATAAAGGGCTCCAATATTTCGAAGAACAAAACCTGCAAAGAGACGACTCCATTAGCAAGAGTTTGAACATGTGATAGTTCAGTTTACAGTGACCAGTATATGTTGCTGTAATTTTCTTTTAGCACAGATTCCTTCCAGGAATAATCTTGAATGAGTCTGTTTTTTCAGGCTCTAGTATTTCTTGGCTTCAGCACCATATATCTCCCCAATTCTACTATTGGGACACTATTATACTATTGATTAGATACATGCTAATTCCGCAGATTGGTTCGGGAGTTATGGGAGTTGTTTGTGAGCCTTTTCTAGCTAATTCATCTGCCATCTCATTCTCATGAATAACAGAGTGTCCTGGAACCCATTCGATTGTTAACTTATTAGACCTAAATAGTTCATTAAGAATTAAACCACAGTTCTTAACAGCCTTAGATCTAGTTATATAGTTCCCCAGCATTTATATTGCTGCTTGACTGTCAGCTGCTTTTAAACAATGCCATTACCTTAATTTGGTGGATTGCATACTGTTTTCAAACTTAAAAATAATTTTAAAAGTTTAAATTTAGTTAAGAAACTTCTTTTATTTTTCATGAAAATATTTTATTTATTCCTGTAAAATAATATTGGTTTTCATAATTTATTAATTACAATTTTTTTCTTCACCCTCCATTACAGTCTACGTCTTTGTATGCTTGATATTGTTTTTTTCTATAATCTTCAGCTTTCCAATGATATATTATACATATGAATTCTGACTTCAGTTTCTGATTGTCATTAATAAGATATTTTTTTATTAAAGAAGTGGTACTAAAAAAAAGTTAAAATTTGTTTTAAGTCAGCTTGTGATTAATATTTGCTAAGAACCACAATAAATTATCATATTGCTGAGAAAAATATTAATGTAAATCTATTTCTGCATTTTGAAAAAAAAAATCCATTCCATTTCTATCCAATTCAATTTCTGTAAGTTAGCAAACTTATTCCATTTTGACGTAAGGGCGGGAACAGTTGTGTAAGCTGAGAAGGGAGAGTGGAAACCAAATGTTGACAGTATAAGCCAACTGCACTTGATAATTACCCTTCAAAAATATTTTGCTCTCTCGACTCTAGTCTATAGACATACCCTCTGCTCTGGTTGGTCCTTTCTCCAAAAGCCAACTCCAGAACTGCAAGTAATTAATGATCCATCAATGTAACAATTGATCCCATTAATGGGTTTATATTACCCTGAACTATCTATATTTACATTATAATTCTTTATTAGGAATTCTCTAACCTAAGTGTCAGAATGCATTGCAGGCACCTTGTCTTCCTCAACTCTTTCAATATTTACTTTCGAGCATAAGTATAATTTGTGTAACCTATAGAATGTTTTCAATGCCTGTATATTTATCTCCAACTCTATATGATGTAAACCTAACATTACCTACATAGCAGCAGTCCGGATGGTTTTCATTGTATCTTCTATCATTACACAGACTAGTCTTCGTAACTTTTCCAGTTGTATCCCATTATGACCAATTCTTGCTCTGTGCCAGTAGACCATTCGTTTTTCAAGCTCCCATGTTTTCCCTATGGCATTTTTGCAAGCCCATAGGCATTTGAGTGCTTTATCAGATGTGTTTTTCTCATGACTATTCCATGTCATTTTATTTTCTAGCATAACTCCGAAGTATTTCACTTCCTTGCTCGAGGTTTGCTGGATGCCATTAATTTGGGGAGTTTTATTGCTACCTTTTTCTTCATGATGAAGATGCATACCTTTATCTTAGTCGGATTGACACTCAGTCCACTGAACTGGCACCATTCCCCCAAGACTCCTGTCGCAGTGTTCAACACGTTTAAGTCTCCCACTGGTGAAGTCGAGAGGCTGCAGGTATGCTACGAAGGATGGAGGTATGCCTTTCATAGAAGCTTGCCCTTAGGCCTCCACAGCTACAGGCGGCAGATCTCAAGAGACTCAAACATCTTGAGCTGGTGGCCCAGAGGGTAGCTCCATCTGAGTGAAGTATCTTGCCAAAACTTTTGCTGCGGGCAAGCCAGCCTTGGGTGACGTGCCGTAACAAGCCCTTGCACTCTTAACCTTATGCCCACGGTTAGGTTCCGCAATCTTGTTTGGTCTACTTGGCTCGGAAGCCAACACTTCAGACTCCTCAGCCTTGTTTGCATGGTCTGGGATGACCCTTGCATCCTTAGCCGAGTGTCCTAATGTAGGCACCAATTCAGTGTGTGATTTTAGAATGATCTTGACAGCTGTCTTAGATCTTCTTTGTCCTCTTCTCATCGTTTTCGATAGTGTGGCAGGGACTGCTTCTTTCGAGTTAGATTCACTGCCAACCACCTAAAGGTTAATATCTGTTGACCCTGCAGATAGGCTCATTCCTTGTATGGATTTTGGAAATAGGGCAATAGCACCAGCCTTGGCCGTGGTCGCCATCTTTACCTTCATCCTTCATACCATACCTGCAGCCCCTCGACTTCAGCAATGGGAGACTTACAGGTGTCTCCCATTGATGCTTCATTGAGGGTTAAATCTGAGGATCCCAGTCCGCTGGTGTTCCTCAAAGTAGTATCCTAGGCCCTATCCTCTATACAGTTTATACAGCTGACATCCCTACCTATCCCAACACTGTCATTGCCACATATGCCGATGACACATGTATCCTATCAGTAAATCATGAACCAGCAATTGCATCCCAAATGCTTCAATCACACATCATAAATCTAGTAGAATGGTGTTAAAAGTGGAGAATTAAAATAAACTCCAATAAATCCCACCAAATTATCTTTACCCTTCGTCGTAAACCAACAACTTCCTGTCCTACAGTTTCCTTTAACAATACTCCACTTATCCCTGTTGAGCAAATCCGATACCTAGGACTCCACCTGGAAAACGACTAACTTGGAATCCTCATACTAGACTGAAACGACAAGAAACCGCTCGACGTTTCTGATTACTTCAGCGCTTACTAGACAAACGCTCTAATCTTCCAATTAATTACAAAAGACTCATACTTGACTATAATAAGGCCTATTTGGACTTACGGAGTTGAGCTATGGGGCTCCACTAAACCATCGAATTCCTCTCGTATTCAATCCTTACAATCCAAAATCCTTTGTAAAATCCTCAATGCTCCCTACTTTGTTACAAATAAAACCATCCATAATGACGTTAATGTTCCTTTTGTTTCAAATCTGGCCCAATCCAGATACCTATCCTTCCATAATAAACTTCAGAATCATCCCAACCCTCTCGTTTCTAACCTTGCTTCCTCTTCAATTCCTGATAACCCTCCGAGGCGTCTGAAAAGAAGATGGCCTCATGATCTCCTAATGTAAACATATCATTAGAGTGCTATCATTGGGTAGTTACTCAGCAAGTGTTTTTCATGTCATTATATACATTATGTTCTAATTTACTAGATGTATTTATTTAATACAGTTGTAAATGTCTTTAAGAAATAAAAAAAAAAAAAATCTGAGGAAGCCCCTGAAAAATTTGAATATTGGAGTTCCGAAGAAAATGAGTCCTGCTCGGAAGAAAAAATTTCTGTTGCTTTTTTTTTTATGTTAATATCCTGCATCTTGTTCCCATGAGTACAGGGAAGAATAATATGTAGGTACTGCCCCCTCTCCCTACAGATGGCTACTTACAATGGTGTCGCCTGGTGTCCCAAGAGAGTCGTTAAAAGAGAGTATATTTTTATACACCCTCTGCCATGTAAATGATCGAATATTGTAAAAATATCAATAGAAAATACATACATAACTTATCAAAAAACTACAGTTAAAATATTTGCAAGAACATCCTTAAAAGGATAATGTAAATCATTCTGAGATAAATTTAAACCAATGAGATAAGATCATATTATAACAAAAAATTATAAGAACAGATAAATTAACATTATTTTTCTATTTTAATAGCTAATAAAATTAGTGCAATTTATGATATTCTTATTAATGCCACGAAACATTACAGAGATCATAAACTAATTTCCTCTAAAAGTGATAATATAGCAACTAACATAAAATAGACTAGGAATTAGTGACCACTTCATTTAACTGAAGAACTTACAGCTAATGACCATTTTAAATTGTAGATAAACCTCATCTACTGTATGAGTTTATAATACCATTAGTCACATAGCTGTTTTCCCCTGTTCTTGCTTTAAGGTCTCCAGATATTATAATATTTCTGATGTTCCTTCTGCAGGAGCATAGACTTGAATTATTGTTACTTTTCTAACTGCTAGCTCCAAGTCTGCTGATTGATTTTTGAACCCATTGGCTCCCTGTGTTCAACCTTAATATATATCTATTGGTTAAAAATCATTCCCATTCTTTCTCTGGCTCTCATTCTTATATCCACTCCAGAGTATATGAGTCATGTATCCATAATTTAACATCTTGGTTTCACTTCCTTTCTTCTTGACCTCACTGTTTTTTAGTAGATCCTCTCTGTACCTCTTCATTACTTTAGCCAACCCAACATCCTTTCCATTTAGGGTCCCAACGTTCCTTATTGCCATTCAAAAAGCTGATATCCCTTCTAAATGCTGTGAAGCATGTGTTTATGAACAAAAACATTGAGATGAGTTACATTTGTAAATTTGTAAATATCTAATATTTATAAATTTTATTCCAATTATGTTTTAATATTTATTTTAGGGAAATGTTTATATTTGTCTGGACTGACACCTGAACCTATGACTGCTGATGATGATTATAAATTACTTAAAGTTGGTATAGGTTTTACCAATATGGTTGAAAGAGCTACAAAAGGTAGTGCTGACTTGACCAGGAAAGAAATAAAAGAAGGTAATAACAATTGTACAAGCACGTTAAATTTTTTACTTTTTGTAGAGCCCTGATGTTCTATTTTTACCGTTATTATTGAAAGAACTTTTCAACTTTAGGAAATCACTGTAGTGGAAATTTAAGGTAATTGATTTTTTATTATCTAGGTGGACTGTTATTTATAACAACATTGAAATATATAAATTCCACATTCTTACATGTGCTTAATGCTTATTGATTTGCTTGTTTTTATAAGAGAATATTGATAAAATATTTTATTTTTAATTATTTCACATAATTTGTGTATTTAATTAGTTTACTATGGTTATGTGTGAGTCAACATATATTTATTTGTTTATTAATTGTTTTATATAACAATAAGTAATTTAAAACTAGTTTATTAGAATATAGCTTAAAAATTTTTATCCATATTAATGTCTTTCACTGGCTAAGGTAAGGCTACTAGCATTTCTTTTTAAAAGCATGAATTATTTAAAATATTTTATGTTTACCTGGGATTGTCATCTTGCATTATTGGATCTAGTAGGAGAGTATGGTCATTTTGCATAATTAATTGAAATTATCACTTACTTATCATTTAGCCTCATAATTCAGGTGATTAAGACTGCGTAAATACTCTGTGCTACTTGCTTACAGTAATTTGTAGCTGATAGTATTGTTCTTAATCTATTTCTGAATTTTGTATTTACTCAGTTCTCAATTCTTTTTTTAAAACATTTGAGTACTGGTTATGATTTAATGTAGTACTATTAATATTTTTTGACACATTACATGATGTCATTCAGTATTAATAATATCTAATTTACTGGGGTACAGTAACACTGTTTTGAAATTGTTAATCAAATACAATAAGCAGTTTTTATGTATAAATATAATAAATAAAATTTTTATAACATGTTTTTGAAATTCACCCTTATAATAATAAGTGTCCTCTTACATTCCTCTTCCCTGTATGTTAATTTTGATTAAACATATGTATGTATTTGTCGTGTGTAAATATTTATTTATGATGCTTACTACTGATTCAAAATGAAGTCAATTGTTTCCATTGACTGAAATTGATCTTTACTGATTGATTGATTACTATGTTTATCAATATATTTTAAATTTTAAACAAGTTAAAAGAAGCAACCTGAAATGAAAAGTAATTGTTATTACCGATAATTTTTAAAATACTCTAATTTCATCACATTCAATTTGATTGGATTTTCTTCTACTGATCAATTTTTACTATTAATAGCATTTGAGGTCATCTGAAGAAATTTTTAATTATATTAAAATTTACATTATATTCAATTCACTCTTAATGGTTTTGCATTTATTGAAACCAAATGTCTTACAAATTTCATTTTGCTTGGTTTATTAATTTGTATTGTCATTGCCTGTTCTTATTAATTTCAAATATTGTTCCCTATCATTTCAGGGCATAAACACTGCATGCCCTTAATTTCCAATTATATATTTTTGTATTGCTTTGTCTTCAATATCAACTAGTAGCTAATAGCAATTTTAAATATATTTTGCTTTTAAATTCATTTGAAACTTGATTTGAAAAAAAAAAATTGAAAAATTTTAGTTGGACTAATTTCAATAAACATTTCTATAAATTACATATTGTTACAATTTATATTGATTTTTGTGCAAGCATCCTTGGTGAATATTTTAGAAAATACCTGATATGTCAAAAGTTTTTTCTAGCATATGTTAAACATGGTTAAATGTAAATGAAAAATTATAGAAATTAAAAAGTAAGGAAATTAATGTACTCTAGAATATCTTTGTTTTTGTTAGTATTTGTGTTATGTCACCTGTATTTTATTAAAATTTATTTTGTTTATTATAAACAATGTTACCTGTAAATTTTATTTTAAGAATAAATGGTTTGGTGGCATGATAATTCAAACTGTGTTTGTAATAGTTGTGGACAGAAGATTACGAGTTAGTTATGGTGCTATGCAGTTGAAGGATTACTACACCAGATAAGGGTAAGTCTCTTAGTAAATTACTTAATTCAAAAAGCGATTTATTGTTCATCATTTGTTAAAATTTAAAACTTTTACTCATCAAAAACTTGTCTAATATTCTTTATTTCATTAAAAGAATCAATGTCAAATGATAAATAAATTTCAGTTATAATTATTTTATAAATTTGAAATATATCTACTATTCTATCATATCTATAACTGAAATATTTTATGATGAGAGGGAGGAAAATTATTGATCGATTTAATGATAATTGGAGTTAGATATTTCTTTTAAATTTAATTTAAGATTTATCTTTCTTGCTGTAAAATAGAACAGAGTTTTTTTCTGAAATTTTCTCCTGTAAAATGAAGGTTCGACCTATATTCAGATTCAATCAAGGAAAAATTTGAGTTCAATCAAACTCAGTGCTTATAAATCATTTCATACATTGTTTTTATTTCTATTTTCATGATAGGAGGTAGTAAAGTTTATAATATATTTTGTTGAATAAAATGCTCTGATTTATTTAAGACGGGATCACAGATGATACATACATTCAAGGCCAAAGGTATATTTAAATTGAGGATTGAACAAAATAAATGTTACAAAAACAAAAGAAAAGCTATTATATATAGTACTTTAAATTTAAAGGTCTGAGGATACCAATATTTTTGCAATTTTTGGAGGGTTTTCACCATTTTGATTATAAAGGAGTACGTTTTCAGCAAAAAATATTGTATAAATTTTAAAACTAGATTAAATATGTTTCAATTGAGGACCATGACAGGTTCAGTAAGTTGATAGTTTTTGAGTTACAGGTTTTCAATGTTTTGGAAATATTTCGAACTTGAAAATTAAGATATTTTTCATGTTTGATCATATGCAATTGTCTTTATATCTTCAATAACCTCTTATATGATTTAGTGAAGTTAACTTTTATTCATTTTAACAATTTGAAAAAATTATTTAACAAACATTTACATCAAGAGCATAGAAAACTTACACCGTAAATGAATTGAATGAAATTTTCAAAACTTATTAATAACCTGGATTATAAGAGTTAGTGAAATAAACATTTATTTAATTTATTATTTTGAAGGAGTAGGATACATGGAATGGCTATATATAATGAGAGATAGGAACCTAATGTTAATTTATGTGAACCTAATATAAACTAATTGATAAAATAAGTGAGCTAGAATGACCTGAGCCATTTATTGCACTCAATCTTTTTCGTAGTAAATCAGGGAGCAGCAATAAAAAAGGGTTTACCACTCATCAAACTTTCAAAACTCTCCTCGACTCAGAAATTTAATTTTAAAGAGGAGTGATAGATGTGAGGAAAATCATAGCAAAAGATATAAATATATATAAAAAAGCGAAGAAAAAAAAAAATTCTGCAATCACTGTTGAGAAGATCCAAAATCTTTGGAAATATAAATAGGAACTGATGGAACCATTATTTGTTGGAAGAAATATGTAATACACTGATAAAGAGAGTAGTATTGTAGCTATTCCATTTATGAGAACCCATTGAGGTGACAGAAGACTGTAGGTGCCTAGGCCAGTGCCGCTTTTCGGCCTATTCAGTGCATTTTCAAAATAACCGTTTCAAATATGTTAAAAATTAATCTGTGATTTAGAAAGAGAAATATATTATCTAGCTGTTTTATTTTAAGGTGTTTTTCATTATTGTTGGCTATTAAATTACAAATGATGCTTGATTTTCAGCTTTAATTTGAACAAATTAAAAAAATTGACTTTACTGGTATTTTTTTATTGCCAAGGCCAATTATTTTTAAATTTTTGTGATGATTTATTATTTTCTGACTATCCATCTTTAATAAAAGGTCAATTATGATTAAATTAAACCAAATGTTGATTATCAGTGACTAAAAAACTTGCTCAAGTCAAAGTCATCGGTATGCCATGTTTGGACACCATTTTGAGGCAGTGCGTTAATTTTTTTTGTGGGAACATAGGCTTTTTTTTAAATAAATAGTTACAAAGAACACAACAGTATGAAATTTATAGTGAGGTGAGGTGGAGGAGGGTCTGGCTCACGGACTATCCTCTCACACTAAACCTTTTCTCCCTCCATCACCCCTCCTTAAAAGTGTTATAATGAATAACTGTTTACTTCACTGACTCGTATCAGAAAGTTTATTGAAGATAAAATGAGTAATTAAAGACGATTGCATATTATTAAACATGATAAATACTTTAAATTTTTCTAAACTTTGAAAACCTGTATCCCTGTATCTCATAAACTATTTAATTTACCGAGCTTGTTCTGGTCTTAAATTGTAGCATATTGAATGTAGTTTAAATTTTATAGAATGATTCTGTTGAAAATGTGCTGCTTCATTGATAAAATGGGGGAAAACCGAAGAGAAAAAAAAAGAAAAATTGCAGGGTTATAGTATATTCAAAAATGATCCGGTGGGTGTGCAGTGATGGTGAGGTTGAAAACTTGGATTTTGCATTTCAGTCATATTCCATACAAAAAAATGAAAAAAAATCTACCCCCATCTAATGCAACTTACGATGTACAAGGATACTGCATACACACACATATATATATTTACAACTTTTCTTTAATCGACCTTTGAGTATTAAATTTAAACATAATTATTTAATTGGGAATAAGGTCACTTCTTAATTATTCAATAAACTACTAAATGCTCATTGCATCTGTGTTTATTCGACATTTCAATCCCAGTTTTTTTAAATAAGTTAACAATGGGATCCTCTTCAAAGTTTTAAAATATAGCTTCGATAACTCAGGCCAGGGACACACAGATAGTCTCAGCACCATCCACCACAAGCTACTTAGTTACTTCGCTACTGTAGTAGCTAAGTAACTAAGTAGCTTAATATATGTGCTGGTGGACAGAGCTGAGACTGTCTGTGTGTCCCTGGCCTGAGTTATCGAAGCTATATTTTAAAACTTTGAAGAGGATCCCATTGTTAACTTATAAAAAAAAAACTAGGATCGAAACTTCAAATAAACACAGAAGCAATGAACATTTAAT